ATTTATCGATAAATAAATTGTATAGCATGGATGCTTGAATTACAAAACTTTATAAATATTATGTGTACACCCATTCTGTTTCAACAATGATAGATACTACATTCCCTACGATGGTGTAGTTCTTGACTTTCGAAAAGTGCTTTTAACAGTGGTAGAGCCACGCGGCAGCTTTTGCTGTCACACGGATGGGCCGGCTCGAACCGGGGTGGTACCACGACCTCACAGAAAACCAGCGTGAAGTAGAGGTTTACCTCTGCGTTTCGCTTGGTGAGTGCAGGTGGCCGGAGGCCCTTTTTACTGGAAATGAGGCATTCCATCTTAGTCCTCACGGGTGACAACGCATCTACATTTTGATTTGTAACAGAGGATAGGTGTAGATGTCTATGGGCCGCAGCAACCACTTACCATCAGGTGGACTGTGAAAAAAAGTGCTTCGTAAAGGCCAATTTAGAATAAAAATATTTTAAATTTGACTTTGACCTACGACTTCAATCAGATAAGCCGTATCTTAGATATGAGTTCACAATAGTCCGACGGTAAGCTCGAGTTGGACGGGAGCCAAGCAATCTAAAATATCATGATAACATCGAAAATATATGAGTTTCTGTAATGCTTGATTAACCTACGCTTATATATTGTAAAAGTAAGCCATACATAAATTATATATTCACATCTATACATCTATATCTGTACAAATAAATAAAATTGAAGTGTCTGTTTGTAATGTCACGATTACAGATTTTTACTAAATGCATATGAAAATATATACGGTACTAATAACAAAAATACAATTTTTAAAGTTTTTGTCTGTCTGTCTGTCTGTTTGTTTCGGCTAATCTCCGAAACGGCTGGACCGATTTTGACGGGATTTTCACTGGCAGATAGCTGATGTCACAAGGAGTAACTTAGGCTACTTTAATTTTAGAATAAGAATTAGGGTTCCGCGCAAAGAATTAAAACCCCAAATAACACGCGGGCGAATTCGCGGGGAACAGCTAGTATACAATATAGGTTTTTTATGTGACCGCGGAGCTTAGTAGCTTAGTGACTCAACCGAGTCGCGCGTCCTACGTACGGATTCTAGCCTAAGAAAGGCCTACACAAATGGTTGATTTTTACACGCTTCAGATTAGTTTGCAAATGCATCTGCACAACATATTATGAGCGAATAATTAATTATTTAATACGTCAGTGCTATCTTAGTAGCACGTCGCAGACTAGACTGCAGCACCAATAGACCCGCACAACTGGGTACAGTCCACGTTGGCGCATAATACCAGTGTGAAATAGCAGTAAAATAGCGTAGGTGTTTCATATGGTGTTGTAGTAGCTGCAGTGACGAGAACCGGGGACCCTTTTTGCTGGTTACGTAGCATTTGACCTTAGATCGCAGGGATGGCAACGTATCTGCATTTTCATTCTTAATCGAGGAAGAGGGTGGGTGTCTAAGGGCCTCGGTATCCGCTTAATGTCAGATGGATTGTGTGAACGCTTCAATAAAAAGCATGTCTACTAGTATAACTATTAAATTACGAGTATCTAATAACCTCATATGATTCCATAGGTCGTATAAGAGGTGAGAGACGAAATAAAATAGTAGTCAAATGATGAACTGCGATGGCCAATCCGCGTGCCAACCGTGGCAACTATGGCAAATATCCTCCTGTGAGGCAATTTAAGGGGCAAAACTATGTTCAGCAGTGAACTTTTGCAAGGCTATTGTATTGAATTAATCAATGAATAATTTACCACCAATAAACCCGCTGAGGTTCTATTGTTCATCGATCAATCCTCTTTAAGTATATATTGAAAAGTCGAGGTTAGGTCAAAAGTTCTTGCCTAACCTCACCTTTTTTCCTATATCGATCGTTACTAATGCCCAGTATTAATAATACTTGCAATATTTTTGATGCGCTAGATGTGCGTTCGATAGTTTTTGGAATATTGGTCGTGGCTCGTGGACGCATTATAAACCTAGCGGTTTTGTTATCGACACCTTACCTTCGTACTCTGTAAAATGTTATAAATCTGGTAGAGCCATGCTGCAGCTATATTATGATTGCATCAGCAATGAGTCGGCTCGACCGGGAATGTGCCGCACTTTCACAGAATACCAGAGTAAAATAGCACTTCCGGACGTCTGGATAATATAAAATTTTGCAGATGTATCGATGACAATACAACATGGTCATGTGTTCTTATATTACTAGGATCATCAATGTTCATGATCAACGCGTGTTAAGTTTTTAAAAACCTCAATATTTTTATTTTAACTTAAATTGATAAATGTTCTAATAAATAGTCTGTTTATTGATCTTTTATTACAACACACCTTTAACGAGGGGTAACAAAGGAAGGACTTAATCCTCTACCAGTCAACGTTAAGAAAGATAATTAACATAAATTAAGATAACGGTAGGTGAAAATTAAGGACAAAAAAGTCTACCGGATTGTAAGCGAATACTTTGACGTGTGTTTTTTCACACTCACGCACACACACACACACCATCCAACTGTACCATAAATCGTAAAGGTATGTCAAAATTTCGAGTTAAGAAAATCGCAACAATTACAACTTAATAAAACTTAATAGACAGATCACTACAATCGGGTTATTTTTTAAATAATTATTTCGTAAACATCATCATCATCATTACAGTCTATCACAAGTCCACTGCTGAGCATAGGCCTAGCCCAAGGAATGCCACAAAGTACGGTCATAAGCCACCTGCGTTCAGTGACTTGCTGCATCTCTTACCAGGTGGTCACTCGTCACTAGTTGGGGGCCGCCCTCTCCTCTTATCGCTTATAGGTATGAGGCTGCTACTAGGTAACGGATTATTCCCCATTGGAAACTTGTTACCGTTAAATATTTTTGTCAGTTTTTTAATGAAATGTTGTTGATGTAAGGAGTAAACAGTTTTAGATACATCATTAATTCATTACAGTTACCAAAAGCCCACTCCATCTATATCTCCCCTATTAGGCTGCTCCTAATAGGGAAGATATTTTGCATAATCGGCACGCTTATGGGTTGGTGGGTTGCCAATCGCAGTTATTTTATTATTTTCATTTGTTATTAGGAGGATGCTGCTACCCATGTCCTGTTTAATTTCTCTCTGTCGCCTCTAACGACGCGGTAATGAGGGATATTAGATAATCAACTCAATACATGTATATTAAATCTTATGGGTAGATGGCGGAATCAGCGTCTCGTGTATGCCAAATCTGAAATATACAGAACGCTGACAGAGAGTAGCGAAATATTTTACTAAATCAAACGATGCCTATTTTAGAACATTATATCTATAAAGAATTACGTCTGTCTGATTAGTCTATTCACAAGCAATAACATAATATGGCTTGATTAACCGTAGAGAAAACTTACAAATTGATATTGATGTCAGCGACACGCTGTTTCTGCTATTAGTAGCGTGTTCCAGAAGGTGCATTCACTATATCTTTTTACTTGGTCAAGTTACTTGTTCAGTGAACTTACTTTATCTGTTTTCATTCAAGGTTATGTAAAATTAGAAATAACATTAATTTGTTTCCTATTCTTCACGTATTAAGTAGTACAAACTTTAATGTATTATTATTTTTTTCTTTTACACTCCTTTCACTGATTGTGGACTTGAACATTTCTATTTAGTCTATATAGTTTAGCTTTGTAATTCAAGCCTAATTCCGTTCTGAGTAAAATCAATTTACGAATTTTATCGCATTTAAATTAAACTTGTTTTTAATGCAAGATGTATTTTTTGTCGCGATTGAAAAGGCTTGCAACATTTATGGCTCATAAAAACATCTTCAAATGTTACTGACATTTAATCAAGTTGATCTGCATAGTCAAGTGGAGTGGATAGGTGTTAATAGTGTACAAAGTAAAGCGGCGCCAACCCGCCGACCGCATCGTCCTGCGCAAGGTCTATTGCCTTGCCTAGATCTTTTGCCGTCAAGCGAACCTTATTAGAGACTTAGCTTGGACGTCCTTATAAATTTATCTTCTATCTTTACGCTCTTCGTCTTTGATGACAGAATCTTGTCTTCATGTACGTAAAGAATAAAAATTTAAAACCAACTTGCGTCTCTTAGGTTTACAATAATTTAGAAAGTTGCTAAAGTTTACATTATTACGTCATCATGAACAGACGCGTTTAGATAATGTAATTTAATAGGTTATGGTTTGAAACGGACAAACAGATGCGTCTCGAGGATATTTATCGAAAATCATAAGCCCCGTTAAGGAGGCCTATGTTCATCAGTGGTATTTTGATAGGCTATAATGAAATGATCCGGCCGCCGCTCAGGATACTGCAATGCAAGAGCGTGCGGCGAGCCGGTGGGCGTTTGGTGGAGTGATTTCGACGAGGAGTGCGGCGAAGTAGCGCTACTATACCCAGGGGTTATTATCAACCATAATTTGTTCACTTATATTTTAATAACCATTTTTCTACAATTTTATATTTATAGTGGAGAGACCTTCTATATTTTCTGGGACTTTGTTATAATAGCGTATACGTTACCCATGACCATGATTGAATTACTGACTCTGTGAAGACGATAAACTGGTAATACAAGCTTGTGTTTGTGGGTCCTGTGTTTACAAAATATGTATCACTTTTATTGAAACTACCTACTTTTGATTTTGTGAACATAAATTTTCGTAATTATTAATATTTTTTTATAGCATAGGGTGACAAACGAGCACACAACCCACCTGATGGTAAGTGGTTGCTGTGTGCCCATAGACATCTACACCTATCCTCAATTACCGAAACAAAGTGCAGATGCGTTGTCACCCGTGAGGACTAAGATAGAATGTTTGAATGTTGAAATTTAGTTCTATTATTATGTAATAAAAATTGTATATTTTTAGATTTCGTATCTAATAATTAAACATAAAATAAATGTAAAATGATTAACATATTAAGTAGAAAATCGGCCAGGTCATAAAAACAACTTTTTTGTATTACTAATAAATATTTACTTTGTTTCAGAGAGACGACCGATCGCTACTAGCTCAGTTCTTCTTTGCGGATGATGCTCTCAACATGGTCGCGGCCGAGTTGGACTCCTTCGATGGCCGCAAAGATCCTGAGAGGTGCTCGACGCTCGTCAACCAGCTAAGACATGCACAGGTTTGTGGAAGAAAGGCATAAATAGATATGGCTACAGGATTTAACCTTTTAATTCTTTTTATCTTTTTACGGCTGGATGGTAAAAACGTCGATATTTTTCTACTGTGTGTTCGTAAAATAGGTTTGTATTATACGCTACAATTTCCTCAAAATTTCTCTAAATATTAGTAAAAACATCGTCAAAATCGTAATTTAATTTTAAATTACTTATAGTAGTTTTATAGTAGTTTTAAAATTATTAAAAAAAAAAAGTAAATAAAATAAGTTATGCGAACACATTATATAAAACAACTAGCTCGCCAGGCAGACGTTGTTCTGCCTTTTTCGACCACCCTTCATATAAAAAATCCTTAAATTCGTAATAAAATATATTGACTGTCACTTATCAGGATAAAAACTATCCTATCTCTCAAGTTGGACTAAAATGCACACAGTGTGCAAAATTTCATTGAAATCAGTTGAGTAGTTTAGTAGTCCATCGCGGACAAACAACGTGACACGTAATTTTTATATATAAAGATAATCACGAAGGTTTTTCTTCCCAGGGCAGATGTTTTTTTCAGAACAAATGATAAAAGCGCACTTATATGACAAATTATTACTTGTAAACTATATTCAATAAAAATTACTCGAAAACTAATCATGTAAGTGTTGAATTAACATTATTTTGCTAGGATCAAATTAATTGATTGCGGCGGTAATTAGATATTTATGGCTTCAGCGTGTGGCCACTTCCTGTGACGGGTCGTCCACTTCCCTGTAATATGGCCGTGGAGGACGTTTGCTGTTTCATCCGTCATACCCGTAACTTATGAACATAATATGCTGCTGGTTGGGGTCGGTCTGCTCGGACGTGTTGTCACTTATGTACTCTTTACTTTTAGGTCAAGTTTTTAAGTAGTTGAAATGCTTCAGTTACCATTTATTATTTATTTCCAAGCGGAGTGGTGGATTTATCACCAGCTCAATTATATTTAGGAAAACTACAGAAGAATTATTAAGACGAAGAATTTAATTTCGTTTAAAATGAAAATTTTCTATAGACACGAGTTAGTCGTACCTAATTTTTAATTCGTAATTATATTTATTTCTCAAAATGATTCTTTAACAAAATGGTCAACTATATTTTTTTATAAAGAACTGAACCCAACTAAGACTACATAATTATGTGTTTTCTGCCACTATAAATTGGAACAGTCCATATTAAGTAATTATCCAAGCTCTTAAAATCCGAATATAAAGATCATTGCTGAATTGCAATGGAAATAGATAAGAGCGTCAAACAAACTTGCACGACTTGTATGAAAAGAATCAATCCGTGTATTATAGTATTTGTCTATATCTTTATATGTATGTCTGTCTGTAATGTCGGAGTAACTGTTTTATTTTAATAATCAATAATTATTTTTAAAATTTTTGTCCGTCTGTTAGCCTGCCTGTCCATCCGGGCTAATTTCGGAATGGCTTAACCGATTGTAACGAAACTTCACAAACAGATAGCGAACAATGCCAGAAGTGATCTAGGCGATGTTTTATACGTATAATTTAGAGATTTTGAAAAAAAAAGATATTCTAAAGATATTCTTTGATATTCTTAATGTAAATAACACCACATTAATAGACCTTACACAGACGAAGATTGTATAAATATAGTATAGGTACTATGTAGGGAGAAGTAGCATCATATTTCTCTTCAACCAGCTGGCATTGGTATACGGACTCTACCTACCCTCAAACCCAAAGACGAATATAGGCTGCGGCATTTGCCGCATTTTGCCCTCACACTTTAGAATAACAATCCGGTAACCTAATTAAATAACTTAAATTGTATTTTATATCGTGAACTAAAGGCGAAAGGACTTTTAACTCTGGCTGACGTAACACAAACTTTTTTGTACAAAATTCAACTGTATTAGTAAGTGTTAAAACATAAAACTCTACCGCTTACATAAAATACAATTACATACTATATTGTTTAATGTTTGGAATAAATAAAGAGTTGGTCATTAGTTTACGTAGAAGGTTTTCACCAAGTACTTTAAGGCACACATTCATTTGTAAACATTATGTAATACGCGGAATTCTTGTGTGCTTTGCTTACGATATTCCAGTTTTTTTTTTGTAAAATACCATCATCGTTGTTTGTTTGTGAGCAATGATACAATTGTTAAGTATAATATCCATAATCAGGAATTTTCAATTCGATCAAGAAATCTGTTACTACGAAAGGTGTCTAAAAGTACACGTTGTTGTCCGATAAATATGGTGATCACTGATCAGGTGTTTTGTGGATCCTCAAAGCCCCAGCTGAAATCAACGTTAATGGAAAAAATAAACCTAGCAAGCTAACAGCATAGCAAAGTGGCGAAGCAATCAGCTTTGTAGCGGTTTCTAACGGTTGCCGTTGAGCAATCAGTATCAAAATAGGAGGTTCAGATGCCTGGGTGATCAGTAATCGATTGCTGAAAACAGGATTTGAAAAATCAAAACCGTTCTCGAGATAATCGTGCGACAGACGGACAGGCATCGTGAAATCAATAAGTGACTTCGCAAACTTCGCCACTTAATAACTGTCTCGTGTAGTGCCGTGTAGTATCGTTTAAGAATATCCACTACCCCATATCATCCCGTGGGTGTCGTAAAAGGTGACAGTGGGAAACAGGCAGGAGATGGGCAGCAGCATCTTTCTGATAACAGCAATATCACAATTAAAAAACTGCGGTTGCCAACCCGCTCGCCAATCGTGGCAACTATAGCAATATACCCCCCAATGAATTAAGTTACGAAAGGACGGCCCCAGTTCCTGGCTACGGTGGCGACCATGTTAACGGCGGGCCAGGGGGTGCTAAGAATCTCCGGTAGAGGTTCGGTTGCCACCTACGACGACTCGACCTGGCAACTTATAACGCACGCACCCTGAGGACTGACGATAAAATCCTGGAGCTGGAAGAAGAGATAGACAAGTTGCGCTGGAATATTATAGGATTATCCAAGGTCCGAAGAGAGGGGGAGGACACGGTAATCCTCGAATCCGACAACTTGTTCTATCACCGGGAGGGCGAACATCTGTCGCAAGGAGCTGTCGGATTTATCGTCCACAAGTCTCTCGTTAACAACGTTGTAAAGATTGGGAATGTGTCGACGAGGGTTGCGTGCCTTATACTTAGAATCACCAAACGGTATTCGCTGAAGGTCATACAGGTTTACGCACCAACCTCGGCACACCCCGATAAGGAGGTGGAGGAAATGTATGAGGATATTTCTAGAGCCATGCATTCCTCCAAAACTCACTATACGGTGTTAATGGGAGACTTCAATGCAAAACTATGCACAAGAGAGAACGGTGAGCTGAAAGTAGGGGAATTCGGAATAGGGCAACGGAAGCTAAGGGGCCAGCAGCTGGCTGACTTCATGGAGAAAGAGGGAATCTTTATGATGAACTCTTTCTTCCAGAAGCGGCCCCACAGGAAGTGAACCTGGTGGAGCCCCGACGGTTCGACAAAAAATGAGATTGTCCTTTCAGCTCGAATTACAAAACCGTTTTCAGTGCCTAGAAGATTGCAATGCAGTGGACGATATGAACGACAAGTTCGTGGAAACTGTCCATACGGTCGGAGCTAAGTTCTGCAAGACCCGCCGCAGAAGAACACAAAAACTCCGATCACACTCTCAATCTCATGGCTGTTAGACGGGAAATGAAGCTGTAGTCTTCAACAGTTTTGACAGCATACAGGCAACTGCACAGACAGATCTCCAAATGCATGCGGCGGGACTTGCGCAACTTCAATACAGCTTGTATTGAAGAAGCGATCTTTGCCAGAGATCTCTCTGGCAGAAAGAACCAACTGTCAAAGCTGAAGACCGAATGTAGCAGCATCGTTTCCATCGTTTCGTACACGTCATTGTTGGAGCCACACGCAAGTGTGAGTAACGATCCAAGAGCGAGTTTTATCCGACACTATTCTGAAGATATTCCAGACGTCAGTCTGAGCGAGATTAGAATGGCTCTCCAGCACCTTAAAAACGGTAAGTCCCCGGGCGAGGATGGAATTACAGCGGAGCTTCTGAAAACGGGTGGAAAACCGGTACTTGAAGTCCTTCAGAAGCTCTTTAATTCCGTCCTCCGTGGTGGCATTACACCGGAGGCGTGGACCAGAAGTGCGGTGGTCTTGTTCTCCAAGAAAGGTGACAAAGCTCTCTTGAAGAAGTACAGACTGATTTCCCTTCTGAGCCACGTCTACGTGCTGTTTTTGAGAGTCATAACGAATCGTCTCCCACGCAGACTCGACGACTTCCAGCCTCCCGAACAAGCTGATCTTCGAAAAGGCTTTAGCACCATAGACCACATATACACCCTTCGGCAAATTGTACAGAAGACAGAAGAGTACAATCTGCCACTTACATAGACTGCACTAAAAGTATCGGGAATGGAATATTTCCACTGTTCCTGTCATATTAAAATCTTTTTAATTGAAAAGTCCTTGGTTTTAAAAATCGAATACCATTTATTTATTTAAAAAAAGATTCTCGGTCTTGTCACAAGGTTTTGTCAAACTTGTTTAGTCGTTGAGAAAATGGAAATGAGTCGAGAAAATTCAAGAGCGATGATTTATTATGACTTTCGAAGTGGTTTAACACAAAAACAGTGTGTTGACCGGATGATTTCTGCATTTGGTGATGAAGCCCCATCCAAAACCACAATTTATCGCTGGTTTGCTGAATTTCAACGTGGACGTGTCAAGCTCAGTGATGATCCCCGTCAAGGTCGACAAAAAACTGCAGTAACCCAAGAAAACGTTGATGCTGTGCGTAAGCTGATTGAGGAAGATCGACATGTGACAATCCTGGATATACGCGTACGAACCCGAAACAAAAAACTAGTCACAAGTTTGGGTGTTCGAAAATGAGTTAAAGCCAACAAAAATTGTTCGTTCACGCAGTGTTGCAAAAAAAATGGTCGCCACGTTTGTCTCCAAAACCGGCCATGTTACGACTATTCC